ACCGAAGTATCAAAAGTCACTAGACTCGAGATTTCCTGTTAATTTGTCTAAAGTTAAAATCTCTCATTAACACTATTTTCATATCTAGATGCCTTATAAATTTCATTCCATAGTGGCTTATTGCATTCCCTATCAAGGCTGGGGAGGGGGGCTACAAATCACATCTAAAATTAATTTTTCACGACCCTCGAGAAACTGTAGCCAAATAGATTGTGTCTGATGTTTCTAATCTTATCTAACAATAATTTAAATTATCTCTGGCATACATTGCAACTCTTCCACCCTTCCTGTTGACCCTATCAGTGTGGAATAGTTTATAACCCTGTATGTTGCATTCAGAAGGCATTTCCCTATCTTTCAAGTTGAACCAGGTCCCCATTATAGCAATATCTACATCACCTGTACTTGTAAGTGATCTTATTTCTTACTTATTATTTGTAAACCTTAAGGGAGCTAGTCATTCGTTACTCTCTTAAACAATTGCTTTGCCTTTAATAACTATTTTGAATATTTTCTTTCAATATCTGCTGTTTTCAACCCTAATATTGAAGCCCGATTGTTTCCCAGACACCTCCTATAATCTATCATTTTTAAAGTCTAGACAAGTCATCAATGACCCTGTCAATTGAATTGGTTAATGCAACCACTCCAGCTCCATAAATGAACCCCATCCCTTTCTTATGTTTGTTTGCCATAGGGTCTATGATATTGCCAGTTTGGAGGGACTTTTAAACTGTTGTGTATGAGTGAGGTGAAATCATTTTCTTCTTGGGCCACCCTGCCTTGGTGGAAGATGGCTAACTTGTTGAAAAAAAAATCAATGAATGGGATTGCAAGTTCCTGTCTAGCCATCAATTTATACCAATTGCCCACTCCCCTTCTAGGCAAGGTGTTATATATGATAGGGCTCCCTCCCTTAGACTTGTACTGATCCAGCAGCTCTTGTCTCATGATGTCATTTCCACCAGCACTAAGACAGATAAAGGGCTAGTTCCCATTACCTAAAATATTATCCAATCTGATGACTGTCACCAACTCTTGGGAGGCATAACTGATAACCACTGAAGTACACTCGTCCTAGAGAACAGAGAATCGATTTCCTTCCTGAATTGTGAACCACTTGCCACTTAGTGGCTGACACACTTCACCTAAATATTAGTAACCATTTCCTCCTATCTCATCACTCCCAAACCCATCTAGGCAAAGCTTCAGCCTCTTACTTTCCTCCTGAAGAAGTAGAACCTACTTTAACCTGAGATTCTAAAACATTATAACAAGTCATGGTGCTCAGTACCACCCCACTCTAATTCCCAGACAGGTGACTGCATTACATTATAGTTTATAATATAATTGAAATACTAGTTTATTGATATAAACAACAGTTGTACACCACTCAGTTTAAGTTATACGCAAAGAATTTTTAATATAAAATATTCTTGGGATCTTTGTTGAAAAGGCACATTCCCCTCAGTTCCTCCTCAATGGTAAAGTCTTGAGGTTGCAGACGTAAGCCATGGAGCGAAAGGTAGTGAGCCAGATCATCTTGTGTTGCTGCCAGAGTGAGTGGCCCCTCCAGATGGTCTTGAAGTTCACGCAGGGCAGGCGGCAGGAAACGTGCCACCCTGACTTGCCCCAGCAGGTACGTGGTACCATCCAGGTTGGTCAGCAACACCCGTGGCCCGCCCTCAGCAGCTTCCACCACCTCTGCTGGTGGCTCCTAATGGCAGAATGGTTAGTACAAAGAAAAAGGATATAAAATGTAAAGAGGGAGGGGTTGAGGTAATCAGTCCCTCAGCCTTAATGGAGTGAACATCATTCCAGGCTGAGGGACAGACATCAACATACCTGCATGAGCACGTCTCCCCATAATGGTTTAACTCTGGGGGGGGGGGGGGGGAGGGGAGACATAATAATTAACGAAATATTAATTAATGCTGACCTGTGTGAAAGGGTTGGCAGCCAGAGAGACATAGCGGAGATTAGGGAGTGAGGTGAGAGCTGCAGTAAGATGTGGCCAGCAGACATCAGTCAGGCGACACCCAGCCATTGATAATACCTTGAGCTTTCCTGCTCCCTGAGCTGCGCCCTCTAACACTGCCCCGCCTGCCACACCTAAGGGGTTGAGATCGAGCAGCAGTGCCTCCAGATGAGGAGTCTGGGCCAGCGCTGCTCCCAGCTGCCTTCCACCAGCCTCACCTGTAGTAATACCCTGTCCTGAGCTACAGTATTGCCCTCTACCAGCCTCATCTATATGGTAACATCCTACCCTGAACTATAATACTTAACATAGCTGATTTTCCTGTTGTAATGCTTATCTCTGACTGAGCTGCATAAGACTACCTTCAGCAGCATTAATATAGATGGTGGTGTTTTCTTTGTCAGGAAATGAAACAGCATTTCTCAACACAAGTATTAATTGATGACTTTTGTGGTTAAGCATCCACTGGCCCACCAATTAGATTAACTACTGTGGTTTAAAAAACAAAGGTTATGTAAAGTTTGTCAGGAAACAGGACAAGTGTGGAAATTTATTTGGTCCCTAAAGTTCCACAGGACAGATCCAGCATGGCCGTACGGGACGGCTGAGCCGGATGGCCCTTATACCCCACCCAAACATGAGAGCATTCTCTCTTGTCGGCAATGGATTGTTGGTAGGCATGTATTTAATTTATAGATTTACTCTTCAGGGAAGGAGTAGGTAGTTTTACTGGTAGTACACTAATATTAGGTTTACTAAGGCAACTGTAGATAATAATAATGTAGACCTAAGACCTTAACATAGGTAGTAATAGGCCGATAATGTAGGCAAACACTAGGTTAAGTTAGCTAGGGAGAACTGGCAGCCCTAGCTTGAATGATAAGGCGCGGGTCTCAAGAACACAATAGCGTTCTTCTTAAGACAGACACCAACTGGACAAGACGTGCCGTGATCAGCAGACGGTGCCCCCCACGTGTCTTCACATCTGAGACCTGGGGAAATCTGGTAGAGGCACCTCGATGTACCGTAGATGACCTCCTCCGTCAGGCCCATACAGTAAGACAAGACCTCCACTATTTCTCGTAGATTTCTGGCCAGTGTCTGGGGAGATTGTGAGTTGAGTTTTATCTGTGGGCCCGGTGTGCAACAGGCAGAGCATGCCCAGTAAGTACCAGTGTCTCAGAGCAGTCTGGAAGCTAGTGTCTGAGTCTGCATAGTTATACTAGGGGATACATACCCTCTTGGATATAGGAATTTCTGAGGTGCAGGCAGGACACTAAATACGATTGAATATTGCTCCCGGTTGCACGTGGTTTCTGAGGGGAAGTCCAAAGGGGCTAAGGCTAAGCTTAGGGAAGTGAAGATCAGGATATATGCTGCAACACCAAGTAAGTTAGTCCTATATACGTGCATGCAGGCGAGTTTTCTTGCAACATCAATCATTTGTGAAAATCTGTCCTATAAGCCACTTGTGAGGCTGAGGTACCCACCTCAGAGCTCGGTGTCAACAGAGTTTGCCAGGGTAGGTGACTCACTTGGAGGCAGCCCACACAAATTTTCACAACAAGTGTTTCCTGATGCAGGTATTAGTCATATGATGACCCACAGCTAGAGTTTTTGGTCATTTGACAGAGGCCTCCTGCTGGTTTTTCCCACCCACCCCTTTAAAAAATTATGGTTATGATTCAGATAATACCCTACACTTAATACTACCCCAATGGAAATAAATTACTTTTTTGGGGGGGGGGGTGATAGCCTAGGTTTTCTACACATGCTGCTATGTAATTGTAATTATGTATACCTGAATAAACTTATTATAAGCAGTAGCACTGAACAGGTTGAACATTTTTTGGTCAATATAATATTAGTTATCCCTGAAGGGGGAAGGGATGACTTGAAGTTGGTTTAGAAAGACACGTAAGCAAACACTATAACATATTTATTAGAAAACGTTTCGGTCCTGGGACCTTGATCAAAAGTGATCAAGGTCCCAGGACCGAAACGCTTTCTAATAAATATGTTATAGTGTTTGCTTACGTGTCTTTCTAAACCAACTTGTCGGTATTTATTACCAAGGTTTATACCATGACTTGAAGTCAAGGAGCAGCTCTTGATCCCAGGATTGGACCTATCCTCCCCTTAGAGTCAATCCGATTGCTTCCCATTCCCCAGATGCTTTAAGATCCCCTATGGGTTTAGCACTGATCCCATCCCTATGAAATAACCAAAGGATAAGATGAAGTACTCACCTATGCTGTTATGTTGGAGGTGGAGGGTGATCAGGTGTGTGGAGGTGAGGAGGGTGACGAGGCGGGGCACAGATGCACAGGTGAGGAGATTGTGGTGCAAGTCAAGGCAGGTGATCCCCTTGTGAGTCTGCAGGCCTACTAGCAGCACCTCTGCCCGGATGTCATCCACACAACTCTCGTAAACTCTGCGGGAGGCAGAACATTGACTCTACAGCCTGCCCAGTCATATTCTCTGTTATAACCGGTATTAGACACCTCAAGGAAGGTGCCTGATGTGCATAAAGTTATTACATTATTATTACTGGTCCAGGGAAGTGAATTCGATCTTCCCTTTCATGGACCTAGCCTGAATGCTTACTATTTCCCAAGAGCTGCATGAACCAACACGGTTTAAGCGCTTCCCCTGATTACGACATTTTTACAATGTATTCATATTGCAACGCACTTTTTCATATCGTTCTTTGTCATTAACAAAGATAATATGAAAATGTATACAATAGAATAAAGAAAAAAAACATAAAAGATTCAGGTGAATAATTATGTTAATATTCAGTGCTGTATGACATTTTTAGATTAAGCATTTCACTATATTATTATTATTAGGGTTACAGCACCTGGGGAATGAGAAGCATTCAGGTTTGATCTATTTCCTTGCATCAATGAAATAGTGGAGCTGTCTTGAAGACAATTCAGGGCTATCGATGCAAAGCCCCTAAAAGAAGGTGCCTCGATGCTGCTAAGGGGCTTTTGTTCCAAGGAATTAGAATTACCTTCTTCCTCAGATCAAAGCCTTTCATGTGCTTCCACATAATAATGCCTTTTGGTCGCTGCACGATCCAAGAAAGGTATCCCAGTATTTAAAAAGTCCAGCCTCCTATACCTCAATGCATGCAAAATATAAATATTTATACGTGTATGAATTTCTGTACATGTGTGCACTTTCATATGTATACAGTTCATCTTTCTCCACATACTGTCGTCTACAGAGGCAGGGTTACCCGAAAAAGAAAAAATGAAAGTTTTCTCTTCACATTTAGTAATTTATACAGGAGTTACTTGCCCCTTGCTTCCAGCATTTTAGACACGGATGAAGTGTTCTTCACTTCCCCATGGAGATATACAATTCATGTGTGCAAATGTATATTTACACGTAACTTGTATGTATGCATATGCTCACGCATATGTATGTTATATGCACGTGTATACTTATGACTGTATATAGTTTTCAACTTGTGTATGGGTGGGTATGTGCTGTATATGTAAGCATGTACACTTATGTGTATGTGCGAGGGTGTTAAGTAGGCGTAAGTGGAGGCAAGTGGTTTTTATGACTTGACATGCTGTTCAAGTGTGAGCAAGGTAACATTCATGAAGGGACTCGGGGAAATTAGTTACCTGGAGAGAGTTCCGGGGGGTCAACGCCCCCGCGGCCCGGTCTGTGACCAGGCCTCCTGGTGGATCAGAGCCTGATCAACCAGGCTGTTGCTGCTGGCTGCACGCAAACCAACGTACGAGCCACAGCCCGGCTGATCAGGAACTGACTTTAGGTGCTTGAAGACTGCCAGGGGTCTGTTGGTAATCCCCCTTATGTGTGCTGGGAGGCAGTTGAACAGTCTCGGGCCCCTGACACTTATTGTATGGTCTCTTAACGTGCTAGTGACACCCCTGCTTTTCATTGGGGGGATGGTGCATCGTCTGCCAAGTCTTTTGCTTTCGTAGTGAGTGATTTTCGTGTGCAAATTCGGTACTAGTCCCTCTAGGATTTTCCAGGTGTATATAATCATGTATCTCTCCCCCCTGCGTTCCCGGGA